ACAGTAGAGGATGATTAGTGGGTGTTCACTAACTAACAAGTTGTTAAGTTGTTGCTAACATACTTGTTAGTTAGTGATGCTGATGCAATAGTTCGTTGTTGAAATATAATGATTGATTGATTGTTCTGCTATTGAGTAGATGAGTCAAGGTTGAATGTTCGGATTCTATGATTGGTAATACATTGCAGAATTTGAGACACTTCTGCAGATTTGTTTTGGTTTTAGTGTAGTGCAGCACTGCAGCTTCAAGCTCGTTTTAGAAAACTGCTAAGAATTTTCCTTATGATCTTTCATAATTCCCCTTAGTTGTTTGTAGTAATGCTTTATTTTGTCATAACTCCATGCTGAACCTAAAATGCACTGTGGTTCCAGGAGACAAAGTATGTATTAGTATCAGAAACTTACCAGTTAACCATATAATAATCTAATGCGATCCTAAAATGATGTAGTCGTGGACAGAAGTAAAATTTCATCACAGAAAACATACACATAGGATGCGATCTTGTAAGACATATTATCTTAATATTTTTTTTAAAAATGAAGAATTACTATTTGCAGAGGTCGCACTTGGTGCGATAGCAAGTGCCTTCATCCATGAGCGGTAGGTCTCGGGTTCGAGACTTGGGAGCAGCCTCTCCATAAATGGGGGTAAGGCTAGCCGACATTTACCTCTCCCAGACCCTGCGTAAAGCGGGAGCCTTGTGCACTGGGTACGACCTGAAGAATTACTATTTGCCTTCTATAATTAGAGAAAATAAAAACCAGTTGCTTCTAAGTTTTGGTCTCCATTGTATAGGGAGATAAATTTGGGCTCCTGTCTTTCCTAACCATGGTCTTTTATAAGTATCATTTGATTGAGGGAGGTGCAAATGATTTTATTTAAATCTAGTCAATGGAGATGCTTCCTATAAATTTCTTTGTACGCGGCTTTAATTACCTGAAACCAATAAAAATGTTTAACAGAGACAAAGGCATGTATTTATTGTGCTACAAATAACTTGTAGTTTGTCATTTGGGAGGGTTTTTTTGAAAGTTTATTTAGCTCTCCTTAGTATTTGCATTTCTGTATGTGCTATTTGTTCTTTTAAATGTTATTGCTTGTGAAGTCCTTTACATAGCTTTATGACTAACTCAATGTCTGTTGTTTATGGATACTCATTATTAAAGGCACGCTCAAGCTGAACTCAATATGGATCCAGTCAATTGGAGAACTAAATTTCCTGCAGAGTCTCGAGAAAAAGTTGTGAACAAAGTGTAAGTTGAATTTCATTATTTCATATAAAGCATCATTTGAATTCCCCCGTTAGGATTTTCCTTTTTATTTTTATTACTTTGATTTTGTCTTATCATTACATTTTTGGATTAGTACTTTAAAACTTGTTTAAGTACTTAAAAAAATGAGGGAAAATTCAATTTAGACATGCTACGCTTTATGATGGCTGAACTCGGAAGAGCTTCAGGATGACCAATTGGCAAGCCTGGAAAGGAAATATTTAACTTATCTTCTGATAGGCTGGATATGTATTACCACTGTTGTTTCAGTTCTAATTGGTTTACGAATAAAATTAATTTTGTAATTGGTTTACGAATAAAATTCCCAAATTAATTGATCAGGCATGGCCAATACATTCTGACTCTAGAACAATTTCTCATGCAGTTTCAGTACCTTAATGAAGCGTGTTCCATTTTCTGAGCACGAGAAACATATGTCTGATTACAAGAGGATTTCTGTAAATTTCGAGGAAAAGGTTTATATGGTTTCCAGAGACCAGGTACCTTAAGTTATGAGTGCTTTCTTTTCAAGCTTATTTTTCTATTCTTTTCTTCACCGTATTGCCCCTCTTGAACCTAAGAACCTCTCTATAATTTAGAAATAAACCTAGAAGAGTCATCTTTGCAGTTCACTGACGTCTTTTTTCTTTTCATAGTTGAGTAATTTTTTTTTATCAGTCTGCAATAAACATTTCTTGTTTAATTTAGCAAGAATATATACTGCGGATCAAATCAAAGTTGGAAGAATTGGAATCTTCGCCAAAAAACTTGAATCCAGGTATTACATTATTTTGGAAACTAAAATTATTGAGTTTAGCAATATCAGCTTGTTCAACTTTTTGCTTCTAAATTGACTGTTTATGTGCATTATATTTTTCTCTTAAACCTGGAATGGTGTTAACATGTAGTGTGATGTTAGCTTGTTCTGTCGTTTTATATATCTTCGTTGGATATACATATACATGATATCGTCTTCCCTATCTGCATAATCAACTTTTTAAAATCATAAAACAGAAGATTACTTATGGGTTTTTGTAGGGAAAATCTAAGAACTATTTTTTTATATCTTTGGTGGCTACAAAATCCTTTCTATGAACATTTTCATTTGGTCTATGCTTGCACTATATATATATATATTCTTTCTATGAACATTTTCATTTGGTCTATGCTTGCACTATATATATATCTTCCCATCATTTGCTTTCCACGTTTGTTATACTATTTTCCAGTAGCGACTGATACATATTGATGAATTTGTTGGTCATCATATTCTCAGAAGCTTATGCTTTCCAACACGAGACAATAATTATTTTATATTCTAATACTTCTTGCATGTGTGCTTCAACCCCCCATTATAATGCCTAACATCAGGATCTTTTACATATATTTCTTGTTCTCTTCACCTAATTTCAATTAATTCGTCTTGATATTTTGACCCTTATTTTGTAATAACATCTTATGGTATTCATCCCCAAGGTGGCGCGCAAGGCCAATCAATTTCTGTTCAATCCACAGCTCCATCTCAAGCACATGAACAACATTCACTGCCTAGTGTTCGAGATAACATTGCATCTGGTGGAGGTTTTACTAACTTAGCATCTGCAAAGCCCACTGTCAGTGTTACGCCTCAGGTTCCTTTGCCAAATAATGCTAGTGAAAATTCCAATACGCAGAATGTCTTTGGTAATTCACAGAGGTCTGTACGAAATTTATCAGGACGTGGGCAACCTTATAATATTACTGCCAATAATATGAGACAGGAGCAAGGGAGACAAAATTCACCCCAGATTGTTGCTCAGCAGAACCATGAGCTGCAAAATCCTCATCTTTGTAAGCAGGTCTGGCAGGAAAATATCTCACCCTCATATGTAACCCAGCAAAAGCAACTACAGCCGCAACACCACTACCAACAGAAACTCTTAAAACCTACTCAGCAACAGACCTCTCAACAATCTATGTTGCAAACTCCTGTCATGCGCCCTTCTGAGACATGTGTTTCTCCACTTTCTGATATTTGGCAGGACCCGATGTCTTCTTTCTATCAGACAACACAGTTGAGGATTAAGAATCAGTCACAGATAGCCTTTAGGCAAACAAACCAATCACAAGTGACTCCGGATATTCATCAAAATGTATCATCAAGTTCACAGAACCCATTAATGCAATCACAAATGCAAGCACATTTGATAGGGAGAAAGTTGACTGCTACTAATACGCAACAAAGTCACATAGATGGGCAACCAAATGGCGTCCTTAACTTGCAGCAGCAACAGCCCAGGTCACCATTCCAACAGAATAACGTACAACAACGGTTTCAGTTACAGAAAACAAATCTTTCAAGTGCATATCATGAGCAATTGGGCGAAAGAAACAATATTTCTGTGCTACAACAAAGCTCACAGCTGCCAAATAAAGATCAAGTACCACAACCACACTCTCTTGAGAGACGACTGAACACTCAAACACAGCCAGAGAAGATGAAACAATTGCCAAATCCATCGGCACAAGATCAGCAGCAAGCATATCAAACATCAGGTAAAAGTACTGTGAAACTGAATCATGTTTCAGCAGAAAAAAAGTAGATTTATTAAATAAGAAAATAAGTAGAAACACCTTCCTAGATACATCATTGATATATTATTGAGTTGCTAGTTTCTATGATCTTATTCTGGATGTGTGGAGAACTTCTAACTGGTACAGGCTAGTTCTAATCGAGCTGATTATCAAAATTACCTCACAAACATATGTAGTTCATTGTTAAAATTAGTTCTTGAAAATATATATTCTGACTGCCTCTTTTCTTATTATTTTGTTGATTGGTTTTGTTATCTATTGATTGACATGATTTTCTCTTCGGTATGAACCCTGGTTGCTTCATTTGTCTTGCAGTTTTTTCTGGATTCTCATATCTTTTAGCAGCGCAATAATATATTTTCATGTGATTATGCGTTTGTAGTTGCAATATTATTATGAAACTTTCGAATGATCTATTAACAAACTACAAAATATGTCCAACTATATCAGCTGACTTCTAGGAAATATATTTATCTGCAATAAAGATATGTTATAAGCTCGGTCTTTCTAAACTCATTGTCAATTTCGGGAATTCTGTGGATTTTGGAAATCATTCTTGATTGTTAGTTAAAACGAAGAAAGGCGCACTTCTTGGGATGTCTATATATCTTTCTGTATGGATATTTATCTGAAAACCCTTTGTAGAATTACATCCAATCATCACCTTATTTCCGCTTTCATCCTGTCAGATCTACTCTCAGTTGACTTGCACTCCATTTTTATACTCGTTTGACAGGAACACTAACTTCTACATCTGAGGGAAGGGTTTCATGTACAGATAATGGGCAAGAGGAAGCCTATCAGATGGTAATCTCTCTCTCTCTCTCTCTCTCTTACTGATTTTGTCACTAAAATTACTATCTGCCCATTTCTGTGTAGGGCAGTTAATTAAATAGTTAAAGCTGTGACTGAATAATTTTCTGAAATGTAACTTTGCAGCTTCAAAGTCTAAAAAGCAAGTATTTAATACCTCTGGCTGATATGTATAAGACGATAACATGTAGGCTCCAGCAGGTAAATTATCCTTCACTTCAAATTTTCTGCTTTAGGTATCCAACATGAGATCAATCGCTTTGTTCTCTTACATTAAAATTCCTTAGACGACAAATTTTTATGATTATTTTTTTAAAGTTCTCTTAATTTTCCAGCTCAACTCTGTCTCTCAACAGACAGAAACAGTCGGTATTGAGAAACTTAATGCCTTGAGGAATAGGGTGAAGTCAATCATTTCTAATCTAAATTTGCCCAAAAGCAAAGTTGCACCTTCGTCCAAGGAGAATCTGGGTGTATATGAGAAGTTCATTACTTCTATTCTTAGTGTACGTGGAAGGGGAAATTCTGGTCCCTCGGAGCAGCATGGACAACGTTCTTCTGATGTGAACTCTACCCGTCAATTCATGCAACTTCATTCTCAAACTCCTCCAGTTCAGACACAGCAAGACGAAAAGAAGTCAACATTTCAGTCAGTGAACTCACAGGATTCTGCAACAACAATGCAGCGGAGCAATGCAACAAACTTGGTTAACGATTCTAAGTCTGTATCTGAGTGCCCAACCCTGCAGCCGACCGACACATATTCAGGAAAGATAGGCTCATTTAACATAGTGCAGCAGGTTTCCTCAGGAACCTTAAATATTCCTAAAACCAATCTCCAACAACCAAATGTTAAGACCTTGTTGTCACATAGCCCGGTGCATGGACCACAGTCAAATGTGAATGCTTTTGAGTCAAGCTGTAATACATTTCAAGAGATGCACCTGAAACAACCTAAAGAGGAGCGAGATGTGCAGGCTCAGACCCTGAAGCAAGAACCTCAAGATTGGCATGAGATGCTGCAGCAATCAGTACAAAAGCAAATTGTGCAACAGCATAGCAGGCTGCTAAAGTTTCAATCCGGAGCTTCATTTCCTACTGCTTTGCCCAAAACTCATGGTTCTTCCCATTCACAAGTTCCTCGGTGTTCTACCATTGACAAAGAAAAATCTTCTGGTGCCTTTTACAGAAGCAAGAACCACTTTCTATCCCATAAACACACCCTCTACTAAAACTTGTTTGGTTCCCTTGCCTTCATCGTCTGTCCCAGGAGATTTTGAGATGCCTATGTCTGATACTTCATCCCTATCGAATGCTGGAACTATTGGAGATCATATGGTAGATGGTGCACCAAAATCCACATCACCCATTGCCATCAGCACTCCTGGGATATCTGCTTCATTCTTACTTGAAGAATCCAGTAACGACATTCATTGTAATACATCTACAATAATGTCTGATGAGTTGAGTGCTTCTAAGCAGCCTATTCAGCGCTTAGTTAAAGTGGTTAGTTTGAACTGTTGCAAGTTCCTCTTTGATTGTTTCAGTCTTTTAGAAAGTGTTGGATTTACTGCATAACATCAAAATTGGGATTATAAGATGAAATGTTATTTTCTTTTCCATTTCAGGTGAACATGATGTCATCTAAAGCACTAAGTGCTGCTATTTTGGACATTGGCTCTGTCGTTTGTACAACTGATAGGTTATCCTTATGAAAATGAATCCAGAACAAAATCGCGCTAAAGCTAGGGCGTCACCCGTAAGTGGCGCGCTGTGTGGCCCGAGCACAGTGATAAGTGAGCAAGGGTCACTGTATCTCCATCGGCACCCGGATGCAGTGTTAAATGAGCAAGGGGGCCATAGAAACTTCTTTTCGAACGACTCCACTCAAAGTTGTTTGGGAGCATATGCTCCTATCAACTTTACCCGGGACACACAAAAGAAGTACTTTGATCCTATTAGACGGGGGAGGGTGAAGAAGCTAGGACAGAAGGGTAGAGTTCAAGAGAGCAAAATGCGTTTAGGAACGTGGAATATAGGAACCTTAACGGGAAAATCTATGGAAGTAGTGGAAGTTATGGTGAGGAGAAGGATAAATATTATGTGCCTACAAGAAACTAAGTGGGTTGGTAGTAAGGCAAAGGATCTAGAAAACTCAGGGTTTAAACTTTGGTATTCGGGCACAAATAGAACGAGAAACGGTGTTGGCATCATCGTGGACAAGACCTTGGTACAAGATGTTGTAGATGTCAAGAGGGTAGGAGATAGAATCATGGCAATCAAGATTGTAATAGGACAAGAACTTATCAATGTGATTAGTGCGTACGCACCTCAAGTAGGGTTGGATACGAGTTCGAAGGAGAAATTTTGGGAAGATCTTGGAGACTTGGTGCAAGGAATTGCTCAGACGGAGAAATTATTTATAGGAGGAGATTTAAATGGACACGTGGGCAGGGAGACAGGCAACTATGGAGGTTTTCATGGTGGCCATGGTTTTGGGGAGAGAAACGAGGATGGGGAAGCTATCTTGGATTTTGCAATGGCATATGATCTCTTCTTAGCCAACACCTTCTTTAAGAAGAGAGAAGAACATGTGATCACCTACAAGAGTGGGTCGTCAAAAACACAAATAGATTTTCTCTTCTAATGAGGAAAGGGGATCGTATAACTTGTAAGGATTGCAAAGTTATACCAGGAGAGAGCGTGGCTAATCAACATCGCTTGTTGGTGATGGATGTACATATCAAAAGAGTAAGACAAAAGAACAAGACTTGGAAGTGCCCAAGGACTAGATGGTGGAATCTAAAAGAAGAAAAAACAAGCCATTTTCAAAGAGAAGGTAATCACCCAATGTGTGTGTGGGATAGAGAGGGGGAAGCTAGCCAAATGTGGGATTCCATGGCTAGTTGTATCCGAAAAGTAGCAAAAAAGAGGTATTAGGAGAGTCCAAGGGCTTTGCCCCACACCAAAAGGAATCTTGGTGGTGGAATGAGGAGGTACAAACGAAAGGTGAAGGCTAAGAAGGAATGTTGTAAAGCCTTATACAAGGAGAGGACCGATGAAAATGGTGAAAGGTATAGAAAAGCGAAGCAAGAGGCGAAGAAAGCTGTCAGAGAAGCTAAGTTAGCGGCTTACGACGATATGTATAAACGACTAGATACCAAAGAAGGAGAGTTGGATATCTATAAACTATCTAGAGCAAGGGAAAAGAAGACAAGGGACCTAAACCAAGTGAGGTGCATCAAGGATGAGGATGGAAAGGTTCTTGCTACAGAGAACGCGGTTAAAGACAGATGGAGAGGTTATTTTCATAATCTTTTCAATGAAGGACATGAAATGAGTGCTTCTTTAGGGGAGTTGAGTAACTCAGAAGAGTGTAGAAACTACTCTTTTTATCGTCGAATCCGGAAGGAAGAAGTGGTTGTAGCTTTGAAGAAGATGAAGCATAAAAAAGCAATAGGCCCAGACGATATACCAATCGAAGTGTGGAAACTTTTGGGAGAGACAGGTATAACATGGCTCACTGACCTTTTCAATAGGATTTTTGAAAACGAAGAAGATGCCAAATGAGTGGCGAACGAGCACTTTGGTGCCTATCTACAAGAATAAGGGCGACGTACAAAATTGCATGAACTATAGGGGTATTAAGCTAATGAGTCATACAATGAAGCTCTGGGAGAGAGTCATTGAGCATAGATTGAGGCAAGAGACACGGGTTTCGGACAACCAATTCGGGTTCATGCCAGGGCGCTCAACCATGGAGGCAATCTATCTCTTACGAAGATTGATGGAAAGATATATAGAGATGGGAAAAAGGATTTACACATGGTCTTTATAGATTTGGAAAAAGCGTATGATAGGGTCCCAAGAGACATTCTTTGGAGGATTTTAGAGAAGAAAGGAGTACGAGTAGCATATATCCAAGCTATAAAGGATATGTATGAAGGAGCAAAGACTGCCGTAAGAACTCATGAAGGACAAACCGAAAGCTTTCCCATAACTGTAGGATTACATCAAGGCTCATCCTTAAGTCCTTACCTTTTTGCGTTGGTAATGGATGAGTTAACAGGACATATTCAAGATGATATTCCTTGGTGTATGCTTTTCGCAGACGATATAGTGTTGATAGATGAAACTCAGGAAGGGGTAAATGCAAAGCTTAACCTTTGGAGAGAAGTGTTGGAATCTAAAGGTCTTCGCCTAAGCCGATCAAAGACAGAATATATGGAGTGCAAGTTCAGTGCAAATGGAGGCCAAAACGAGTTAGGGGTGAGGATCGGAGATCAAGAAATACCAAAGAGCGACCGTTTTCGTTACCTAGGATCTATCTTGCAAAAGAACGGAGAATTAGATGGAGATCTCAACCATAGAATACAAGCTGGATGGATGAAGTGGAAGAGTGCATCCGGCGTGTTGTGTGACCGCCGTATGCCACTGAAGCTCAAGGGAAAATTTTATAGGACGGCAATAAGGCCGGCGATGCTGTATGGCACAGAATGTTGGGCGGTGAAACATCAACACGTACACAAAATGGGTGTAGCGGAGATGAGGATGCTTCGTTGGATGTGTGGGCACACGAGAAAGGATAAGATTAGGAATGAGGATATCCGGGGTAAAGTAGGAGTAGCCGAAATTGAAGGAAAGATGAGAGAAAATCGGTTACGGTGGTTTGGACATGTGCAAAGAAGGCCTACTGACGCTCCGATTAGAAGATGCGACTATGGGACAGAGGTTCAGGGCCGAAGGGGTAGAGGAAGACCTAGGAAAACTTTGGAAGAGACTCTAAGAAAAGACTTAGAGTACTTGGATCTAACGAAGGACATGACACAGGATCGAGCACAATGGCGTTCTAAGATTCATATAGCCGATCCCACTCAGTGACTTGGATTTTCCAAGTCTCCAACCGAGAAGTTTTCCTCACTCGGGAAATTAAGGGAACACTACCCCAACCTACATGCTCCACTCAGAAAGCTTCAACATACAAGCTTCAAAAAAAGAAAATTCAAAGAACTTAGCGAAGAAGGCTTTGGTGTATTTAACACAATACGTTGAAATGAAGGAAAGCTTATTTATTGATATCCCCGATAAGCTACAAATATGTACATATACATGAGTCAAAATAAACACACAAGAGGGAGCCTTCACAAAGGTTGCTTAGGAGAAGTCTCAGCAGTCGGTAGAGCCCCAGAAAGAGAAGGCACCGGAGGGGGATCATTTGGAGCCTCAGTACTGGACAGAACCCTAGAAGGAGGAGGCATCAGAGGTTGATCATTTTGGAGCTTCATTACGCGGTACAGCCCCAGAAGACGAAGGCAATAAATGCCTTTGGAACAAACCCACAAATCTCTGATGATCAAGTAAAACCTGACCATCAGTTTCCTTCATCTGGTCAAGCTTCCTCTTCATGTTTGTAGCATAGTCATGTGCGAGCCGGTGCAACTGTTTATTCTCATGCTTGAGCCCTCTAATCTCCTGTTTGAGACTCATCACTTCAGCCGCCAATGATTCAACTTGGCGGGTTCGAGCAAATAGGCGTTGGGCCATATTAGACACAGAACCTGCACACTGAACACTGAGAGCCAGCGAATCCTTAACAGCTAACTCATCAGACCGTTTGGAAAGTAGTCTGTTATCTTTGGGAGTGAGAAGGTTCCTGGCCACCACCGCAGCGGTCATATCATTCTTCATCACGGAATCCCCAACGGTAAGAGGACCAGTAGGGGAGACGAAGGATGGGCGCCATATGTTGTCTGGAGAAGGCGGGGCTGCCTCTTCAACAAGGTTCAAGTCAAAACGACGGTCGGAGGGGCCAGACATTTTCAAAGGTGTTGAAGAGAGAAGAGGTCGGACAAATCAAGATCTTAGAAGTGCAAGAATGAAGCTTCTACTGGTGGAGATTCAAGTGTGCTTTGGAACTTAATGCCAGCCCCTATAAAAATCTGCACTCGACGGAGCTTCAGAAATCGAAGAGGCGCCTGCTCAGAAATCGAAGAGGCGTTTGCTTTCTCAAAAGCTGGGCTGCTTAGAGATCACGAGGGTTGATCTCAGAAATCGAAGAGGCGTTTGCTTTCTCAAAAGTTGGGCTGCTCAAAGACCACGAAGGCCGATCTCAGAAATCGAAGAGGCGCTCGCTTTCTCAAAAGCTGGGCTCCCCAGAGACCACGAGGGCCGATCTCAGAAATCGAAGAGGCACCTACTTTTTCCAGCCTTGTCAGCACCTGTCACACGCACACTCAGCTTTGCGGAAATTATGGGCATTCTGTCGAAGACTTCTGGGGAAGTAGAAAACACATGAATCTTACTGTTCAATCACCCACTTCCCACACGCAACAATAGCTCATGGGTACCACAGATAACTTTGCCAAAGTTCTCTGCCAAAGTTGAGCACGTGAAGCTTGCAGCTCCCACTACATCGCTCTGACCAAGAAGGGTAAAAGAATAGCAAAGAAACAGCACTAACAAAGTTTAGACCCATAAATTTTGAAGGTCTAGCTACCATATTATTACCCACAAGGGTAAAGGAACAGTACCACTGCTGGATAATTGGAAAGTCCCTGTGTGTCAACCTCTGTGCTTCGTGGCAAGGTAGACTAGCAAACATGCCCAACCTTTACTCACATTCGAGAAAACACTCCCAATAAGATTGCTTGCTCCAAAATCGAAGAGGCACCGTCCTCCGAATCTCGAGAGCCAGACTCCCAACATGACTACTTTCTTAAAAATCGAAGAGAGGGTAAAGGAACAGTACCATTGCTGGATAATTGGAAAGTCCCTGTGTGTCAACCTCTGTGCTTCGTGGCAAGGTAGACTAGCAAACATGCCCAACCTTTACTCACATTCGAGAAAACACTCCCAACAAGATTGCTTGCTCCAAAATCGAAGAGGCACCGCCCTCCGAATCTCGAGAGCCAGACTCCCAACATGATTACTTTCTCAAAAAATCGAAGAGACACTGCTCCCCGAATCTTCGAGAGCCAGACCCCCAGCATGATTGCTTTCTCAAAAATCGATGAGGCATCGTTCTCCGAATCAATCGAAGAGGCGCTCGCTTTCTCAAAAGCTGGGCTGCTCAGAGACCACGAGGGCCGATCTCAGAAATCGAAGAGGCACCTACTTTTCTAGCCTTGTCAGCACCTGTCACACGCACACTCAGCTTTGCAGAAATTATGGGCATTCTGTCGAAGACTTCTGGTGAAGTAGAAAGCACATGAATCTTACTGTTCAATCACCCACTTCCCACACGCAACAATAGCTCATGGGTACCACAGATAACTTTGCCAAAGTTCTCTGCCAAAGTTGAGCACGTGAAGCTTGCAGCTCCCACTACATCGCTCTGACCAAGAAAGGTAAAAGAATAGCAAAGAAACAGCACTAACAAAGTTTAGACACATAAATTTTGAAGGTCTAGCTACCATATTATTACCCACAAGGGTAAAGGAACAGTACCACTGCTGGATAATTGGAAAGTCCCTGTGTGTCAACCTCTGTGCTTCGTGGCAAGGTAGACTAGCAAACATGCCCAACCTTTACTCACATTCGAGAAAACACTCCCAACAAGATTGCTTGCTCCAAAATCGAAGAGGCACCGTCCTCCGAATCTCGAGAGCCAGACTCCCAACATGACTACTTTCTCAAAATCGAAGAGAGGGTAAAGGAACAGTACCATTGCTGGATAATTGGAAAGTCCCTGTGTGTCAACCTTTGTGCTTCGTGGCAAGGTAGACTAGCAAACATGCCCAACCTTTACTCACATTCGAGACAACACTCCCAACAAGATTGCTTGCTCCAAAATCGAAGAGGCACCGCCCTCCGAATCTCGAGAGCCAGACTCCCAACATGATTACTTCCTCAAAAATCGAAGAGACACTGCTCTCCGAATCTCGAGAGCCAGACCCCCAGCATGATTGCTTTCTCAAAAATCGAAGAGGCATCGTTCTCCGAATCTCGAGAGCCAGATACCACAGACCACTTTTTCAAAGTGCTCTGACAGAGTTAAAACATGTGAAACTGGCAGCTCCCACTACCGTGCTATGACCAAGCAGGGTAAAGGAATAGCATTACTACTTGTTGTTAGGGAGACTCCTATATATGTCGACCTCCATCCCCAACGGACAGGCAGACCTGCAAAAATGCTCAACCCTTCATCATATCTGAGAGGGCACTCCCAACGAAGCCTTTCGAAATATTCAGCTTTCTTTCCCCCCGATAATACCTCTGCAAACAAGCTATACTAGAGCAAGAATATCTCATATCATCAGGGTTAAAAGCAAGAGTATCCCATATCATGCTTTTTCCCTGTCTTTTCTTTTGGCCTTGTTTTTTACCTGCAAGACAAGGAGAAAGAGAGCAATCAGTCAGCACTTGGAATCAAGCTTCCAGCCAGGAACTGACTGCCTGGAACCCCTTACCTGATTACTTACCTGGCATTGCTCTCGAGTACTCATCTTCAACATCTTATGTTTCCAGGGAAGATTCCGCATCTGCTTGAGGAACAGATAGGGCAAGTGCGAAGGATACAAGGAAGCATGTGGAGACAAGCGTAACAGCACACGTGCCGATACATCCATTACTCTGTCAAAAGCAAAAGTATCCCATATCAGCAGGGTGGAACGTACTCTAGATTTGATGGACTTGTTTTGACCCTCAAATTCTTCAGTCGGCCTTATACTCTGGAGGAAACCAGAAAACCCTCCAGCTCAGTTCAAGAATAAGCCTGTGGAAAGTTACTTCTTCAAAAGCAAAAGTATCTCATATCATCTCTTCTTCATTTTTCTTCTCTTTATCCTTCATGCTGCTGCAAGATGGGGAGAAGGTGAACAATCAGTCGGAGCTCTGATTGCTTACCTTGTCTGTCACCTCTTTCAGCAGACCCCCTAGCTCGGCGACTTGGGGGACTCCTACTACATGGTTTGTATCGCGCTTGACCAAGCCTGAAACTACAAGTAAGCTTCAAGTGAAATTGATACATTACCTTGTGCATCTCCACCAGTTAAAGATACCACCCCTGGATGGAGGAAGAGTACTTCCAGAGAAGATGCCACATCTACCTATGAGACAGATTAAGGCAAGTCAAGACGACACCACACTCCGATACTTAGAAGTTTCGTGATTACGAGATCATTCTCCCACAATATTTCCTAATGTCATTTGTACTAAATCATTCACTTGTACTCACTAAAGGAGAGCTTGAACCTATGTACTTGTGTAAACCCTTCACAATTAATGAGAACTCTTCTATTCCGTGGACGTAGCCAATCTGGGTGAACCACGTACATCTTGTGTTTGCTTTCCTATCTCTATCCATTTATATACTTATCCACACTAATGACCGGAGCAATCTAGCGAAGATCACAAAAAGCGACCGTTTTCGCTACCTAGGATCTATCTTGCAAGAGAACGGAGAATTAGATGGAGATCTCAACCATAGAATACGAGCTGGATGGATGAAGTGTAAGAGTGCATCCGGCGTGTTGTGTGACCGTCGTAGGCCACTGAAGCTCAAGGGAAAATTTTATAGGACGGCAATAAGGCCAGCGATGTTGTATGGCACAGAATGTTGGGCGGTGAAGCATCAACACGTACACAAAATGGGTGTAGCGGAGATGAGGATGCTTCGTGGGATGTGTGGGCACACGAGAAAGGATAAGATTGGGAATGAGGATATCCGAGGTAAAGTAGGAGTAGCCGAAATTGTAGGAAAGATGAGAGAAAATCGGCTCCGGTGATTTGGACATGTGCAAAGAAGGCCGACTGACGCTCCGGTTCGAAGATGTGACTACGGGACAGAGGTTCAGGGCCGAAGGAGTAGAGGAAGACCTAGGAAAACTTTGGAAGAGACTCTAAGAAAAGACTTAGAGTACTTGGATCTAACGGAGGACATGACACAAAACCGAGCGCAATGGCGTTCTAGGATTCATATAGCCGACCCCACTTAGTGGGAAAAGGCTTTGTTGTTGTTGTTGTTGTTGACTAATTCTCGTTTGCAGAAGAGTTATTTGGCATGGCAAGATAAGGCCTTTGGAACAAAAAATATGAAACGGTGCAGAAGTACATCGCCAATTAATGTTGATGCCTCAGCAACTGGAAGTATCTATGATAGTTCAAGGCTGAGTGATACGGAGATATTTGACTTGGAATCAACTGCAATATCTTATATCAAAAGGCCTAGGATTGAGGTATGATGCTACTCTGAGAGTTTTCTTTTTTTTTTTCTTTCTAAATCCTATGAAGCTTATAATTTTATCTAATAGTAATGCCATCTCATGGATGCTGTTTCAACAGAACATCAATTTAGTTGAGAAACTATCATCAGAGTTATCCTTTTGGTTTTTAGGGTTCGGTCATTTTTATTGCCTTCACCATCTGATAAAAAAAAAATAAAAAAAAATAAAAAAAGTCATCTCCCTCTTTGTCTTCTACTTGAGGACCCAAATACTTTTGTCCTCTAATTTCTTTCTTTCCATTTCAATATCTGTCTGACTTCTATGACAGGAAACCTCTAGTCATATCTCACATTTCCTGGGTTGTTTTTATTATAGTAACCCATAGCTTAACCTAATTTCATAAAAGTATTAAAGTTCATATATACATTTTACGTTTTCTGTTATAGTTCTGAAGTTTAGATTCTAACAATCGCTCTCTTTTCCATGTATATTTGAAATGTAGATTAGAGATTCTTTTTCCCGGTCATCTTTGTAAAATATGTATCGGTTCTCATCATTATTGGCATATTATATTTTCTCCATATTCAAGCCAGGAAAGTTGCATTTTGTGATAGGTTTCTCAGCATATCAATTGGTATAATATTTTGAAATTGATTCATAATTGTTTAGGCAGAGAGAGTCGATTGCGTTGTGCATCTCTTGAAGTATGACTCCCGGTAGGGTTACTGGGGCAAGTCTTAGCGTTGAATTTATTATTCGGTAAACAAATCAAGAGATCCTTACAGTTACAGTATATTACATGTTTCAGGTGAATCAAACCCTGTTTGAAGAAATTACAGCAATTAACCACCAACTAATAGACACTGTATTAGATGTCAGTGACGAAGATACCCCTCCAACAGTAGTCTCAGCTCAATTTAGAGGTGGTCAAGGAACCATTGTCCGGTGCTCCTTCATTCCCGTGACCATCGATCCCAGTCTGAGGTCACAGCACCCTTCAGCTCAAATGGTATGCTTTACTTTTACACACTAGTCTAGATGTGATTGAGAAACCATACATGTGATTTTTCTATTCCTGTATTGACTTTGCTTTTAATGTCTATGCAGCTTCCAATCCAGCCTTTACGATTGCTTGTTCCTGCAAATTATCCATTGTGCTCTCCCATATTTCTAGACAAGTTGAGAGTGGAAGTCGGGTGTGACATCGGGACTTTTTCTTTGTATTTGTTCTGTTTATTATAAGTATCGTTCTACATCCCGAACCAACTATCATCCTCCATGTATACAGCGCATAGTTATTAGAATGAGAACCTACCGCTAATTATTTGCCATGTTTTTTCGGTTCTTGTTGTTCACAATAACATTGCCATGTTTCTTAGGTTCTTGTAGTACTTAGAGAAGGTATAGTTTCCATTTGTCCTTTTGATTTAATCCATTGTTGGTATGGCAGTGATGAGCTAGAAGATTTTTCAGCAAAGGTAAAATCAAAGCTGAATATGTCGCTCCGGAGGCTGATGGAACCCTTGTCACTTGGGGAGATAGCAAGGACGTGGGACATTTGTGTGCGAGCGGTTGTCGCAGAATATGCAGAGCAGAATGGGGGAGGAAACTTGAGTTCCAAGTATGGAGGGTGGGAAGACTGTATGAGTGCTGCTTGAGCAATTAATTTTGTGCCTGTTCAGATTCTAGGCTAAGTGTACAGATTCTGGATGATTGTAATCTATTTATTTGTGTTCTTGATGAGGATTCCTCTCTTCTTTTTCATGTGTTTTCAACTTTTTACCTTTTGGTAATTTAAATTAAGTGTTGCTGATTATGTCACATTATAAATCTTTGACCATCCAAGAATGTTTAAAAATTGTAAAAACTTGGAAGAGAAATATGAGGATGCGAAAATCACTTTTCATAAAAAGGACAACAAAAACGTGATAATCTAAACTCAAAGTGTCATTCTGGCTTAAATCCAATTCCGACGCAATCCGTTTCATGGCTTCCAGCTTCAACCCTAAATAGAGGATGATAATTGGATCCAAACCTTGTGTTTACTGTGTGCGTGGGCCAAAAGACGATGACTATCATGGCAACTACATTGTTTCATGGAGATAATTCTACACCAAACAAAGTAAATGGTAGGGGAGAGGGAAGAGACAGGAATGATTTCAAAATAATTGCTTCCGACTCCAAAGCCAAAGCGGGAGCCGGTAGCAGAGAATTTTTCTTTGGTTTTTGCTCTAGACAGCTGGGGATTTTTCCCTTTGGCTATGTTTAGACGAGAGTTTTCTAAGTTTCAAGGGATCTAGCTTAAGTGTTGAATCCCTTCAAATTACACATCTCAAACCTTTGACATGTTTGTAATGAGAACTGCTAGCAACATTTTCACTTACCTTCTCATTTCAACCTTCTCAATTCTTTTCATGCCGCTTGTACTCTACTAGCACTCAAAATTAAAATTTTGATTACATAAAAATCTCATTATTTTTTTCTTCCTTTGTTAGTAAATTCACAAGAACGCTTTATTTGCAATGGTAAATTCACGATAACACTTTTTCCTATGTCTAATTTATCCAACTGTTTTCACACTCGCTTTCTCCTTCTGCACTCCTCAGCTTGTTTTGTTCCTTGATTTTCCTGTGATCATATTCAACCTTAACGCTAGAAGAGAAATATGAGAGTTCAAAAATCACTTTTTCACTAGCTAAAGATGCATGTGTTACATCATTGTCTACAAAAAAATTGCTTCTTACCAGAGACTGCTTATCCTTAGGAGGGGAACACTAGATAGGGCGGTAAATGTACTATATATTAACAAGAGATTATACAAAGCTCGATAGGCCACTTCTTGATGGTGAATATGATGGAGCAACATTTGTCTTCTCTACAGGTGTAGTAGTAAATTCATACCGCGGCACATAGCTCAGTAACCCTCGCCTTCTATTGGCTCTAGTTTTACTTCTGCGGCACAGTGTTGAGAGTATGGCTGCTGGGTGGAGTGCAAATCAGACGAGGGGATCTGCTTCCTAGGTCTATTTGCATCAATGAAGTTTAGTATCTGCTTCTCGTATAAGCCCCATTTGTCTTTCAAACTAGGTGTAATGTAATTTTTGGAACTCTGTAGGGCTGATATGAGGCGCTCGATCATGGTCTTGAACATTTTTTGCTTCTCACTCCGCTCTGAATATTCTGGAAGAGAAACGAGCTGCCAAACAGAGAGAACAGACACGAGTAAGCAAAAGAACAGAAATATAAGAAGTAACAAGACTTTGTAGCAAATAATGTTTTCAGCATTGATGGTGTGGTGACAATGCCATATACAGTCTAAATGGGGACGATAATTAAAAAGGAGATCCAACCGAAGGGATCTATCACAAAGCATTGCCATGATAGCCTTGAATGGAAAGCTACTAATTAATGGTAAAAGTAGAGAAACAAATGATGAGGAAAAACGATAAAGTAATTGCATACCTGTGGAAGTTTAGTAATAATTTTCTGATGAATTTCAGTTAGCTCGGGCAAGTACATTTCCTTCATGACTTTGATCTGCATATCAAATTCGGCAAGTCAAAGATGATTAGAAACATTGTTGCAGCTGCATGCTTGGTGACAGCATAATAATATCACAACATTTTTGGGTTTCCTAGTCGCTCGCATGCATCAATTTAAGTTTTTCTGTTTAATGCATCAACTAGAGTGCCCGGAGAAGCGAGCTTTAGTTAAATTCCCAGCCGATGATAGGCAACTTAGTAAGACTAGAATGAAAATCACTATTCAACGCAATTTTGCATCAGTATAATTGTATGGACAACAAGCGAAACATCTTACTTTCTGAAAGACCTCCTCTTGCCAATCACCCACAGTTGCATTCCCAGTCTGGACCCTGCAATCTAGAGATGTCCATATAAATTACAGAAATATTTGTCAATGTTTGCACACAAGGTTGTACAACAACTTGATAATGAGCATTAGTCTGAGAGAAGAAGTAAAACGGAAAACTGTCATGCCGGAATTTAAAAATGTACTTTTGTAAATAAAAGATACGAGCAGTATGCAAACAAACTAGAAACTGCACAGGCCAAAGCAGAACAGGACTAAAAATTCACTAGATTGTCAATGTTATGGTCATGGGAAACTACATTAGTAAATGACCACCAAACGCTTGATCAAAGCGGCCTAATAATAAGCCTCCTTTAGGAATGCTTTATCTATAAAACAACCATATTTCACGCTATCAAAAGGAATGAAAGATATTCGGTTCACCAAGCCAAATTCAGGTCAATGTAGTTTAATATCAGAAGTCCAATTATGAGAAGATAACAGTCAAACTTTGATTATTTTCCAGACGGTTTACAGCCATATGAACATGAGGCAGGCATAAAAACATAAAGTAGCCTGTTCAACTGACACAACCAGATAAATTCATATAACAATGACAACGTTAACCATAATGTAATATGATAAAACAGGCCCAAATTGAAAAGTAATATAAAAGCAAAATAAAATTACAAAACGCTCATACATGATAATCTGAATAACGTGAAAGCAGATGCATAAAAAGGACAACACAAGAGCTGCATAACTGTAAAAAAGTAAAAAATTAGAAAGAAAAGGAACAAATACATACTTGATGGCGTCTCAGGAAGGGCTCTTTGTGATTGATGCAGCTGCTTTTGTTGATCCGTTGAATTTTGTTGTTGAAGTGTGGTTCTTGATACCTGACGTGATGCTTCAAGACTTTCTTCCCTGTCTCGTTTTATGCCCACGGTCAACATGTTCTTCTGTGCCATTGAAACCCCAGCTACAGAAGACACAGAATTTTGCTGCAACCTAGTCATGTTGTTCTGCAGCAATGGGTTCATTTGATTTTCAAGATGGACTTGAGTAGTGTGAAATTGTGACGGTTGCATGTTGTGTATTTGAGATGAGGAGAGCTGCCCTTGCTGCAGAGATAAAACTGGCTTCCTTGGTCTGTTTGTACTAATAAACTTTATAATCTGCTTCTCATATAAGCACAACTTGTCCTTCAAACTAGGTGAAATGCTACTTTTGGAAACCTGCAAGACTAATATAACACGCTCCAACATTGTCTTGAACATTTTTAGCTTCTCAAGCTCCTCTGATTTTGGTTGTGTTGAAAGACAATATTCGTGCTGGTATGGTAACAAGACTTTTAGAAAATAATGTAATGCGATATAAGAAAGAATACAAGACATAAGTAAGCAAAAGTAAAGCAATATAAGAAGTAACAAGGCATTTTTGGTATGTTAAAAAATTTCATGTAGCCATTCCTCACTGCAGCAACAGTTAAAAAGGAGAGCAGTCATTACAAGGGATCTACCATAAACCACCATGACGATAACCTTGAAGGGAAAGACTATTTAAGGGTAAAACTATAAAAGTAAAGCAACAAATTATGAGGGAGTGATTACATACCTGCTGAATTTTATTAGTAATCTTCTGATACATTTCACTCAGTTCGGGTAAGTACATCTCCTTCATGTCTTTGATCTTCAAATCAGATACAGCAAGCCAATATGATTAGAAACAGATATATGTTTCCAAACACCATCGCAGCACTAAGATTATTTGTTTCTTACTAGCTCATCATTTACCACATCTATTAAAGCTTTTACTTGATTTTTTTTTTAAAAAAAGAAAGCCAATATCAAGAGCTTGTGCATGCCACCATGCGTCCAGAAAGCATGAATTCACGTATAACTTATGTAACACAGTTGAGCTTCACGTGATGATCGGTAGCCAGGGCTTTCAAACTTATTTTCGATTACTAATAAAGTTCATAGTAAATTCCTAGTTTACTACCAATTGCTTGTTCTTTAAGCAACATAGAATATACCAATGCGAACTTATGAAAATAATAGAATTCTTTCATCTTCAACCATTGAATAATGTATTCCTACGCTATTAGCACCACGTCCCTCTGGTTCAAGCTGTAGTCAGCATTCCTGATAAAGCGGGATGAATCCTGAAAAGGATGTTTCTAGTTTCCTATTTAATCCTTCATCACATATGAACACCAGTATATAATCCCCACCCGAGAGGAAGGCCAAAATAGCATCTTCTACATATCCTAGCCATTTAGGGGCATGTCAAAGCAGCTTACCTTTTGATAGACCTCCTCCTGCCAAATAGCCTCATTTGCATGTCTTGTCGGAGCTGGGGAATCTAGAATCGGTACAAAGTTATACAAAAATATTGTAAGTCATATGAAAAAATTTCAGAACAGCTTTACCTTTAGAACATTGGTCAAGAAAAATGCGAACCAAATGTATCAATAATGATCCTGCAAAAACATGCAATGTATGTTTCAAAGGATCAATCTAACTCACATGAAAATTTTGAGCGCACGCTGGGTGCCCAAGTGCTTAAGAAACCAGGATCATGCATGGACATTTCAGATAAGATTTTTCTCCTAGTTTCTTTAGATTTAGAGTACGTTTGGGTGAAGGACTTCCAAATTCCACGGAATTTAGGCAAAGTGAAGAAGTTATAGGTCACAAAAAGTTTAGATATGAGGAATTAGTAATGCACCACATAAGCATTACAAAATCATGTGAGAGGGATTTGCAAATGACTACTTGAAAAGAGTTATTTATAAATCTCTCTTACATACCTTCGTAATCCTCATGCGGTACATTTCTAATACATGCTATCTAACTGTCTGTGATCCATATTTCTTATTCACTTTGTCTAAATCTCTTGGAATTTGAAAATCCCTCACCCAAACATACCATAATTAATTGATGATAGAGAGTTTCAGAGGAAAAGAACTATGAAGAAAGTTGGGCAGCAAGAGAGGAACCTACGATTTAAAGAAGAGACAGAGAGTCTGTTTCTGTAAGTTGTGCACTTATGTTACCTTCGTCGTAACAACATGAATGTTTAATTATAGTTCTAATGATTCAATCGCTACTGTTAATATGTGTTCAATCACAAGGCTGAAAATGTGTATAAAAAAATGTGTCTTTCGACCTTAACCCATTATTTACAAAGATAACAGTACCTCCATGTCAAAAAGCATGCAAGCAGGAAGACAAAGGGGGTGGTTTCGATTACCAGAAGAGTTAGCTTGTAAAGAAGTGTCCAATATTGTGTTCGGAGACTTGGCCTCCACAGTAAACATCTTTGTAGAAATCTTCTGTAGATAATCCCACTGAAAAATGAAATCCATGATAAGTAGGACCCCGAGATTTATATCATGAAAAAGTAACCCGGAGATTTACACGAGTACCTGGCTTGTGGCAGAAGTAAAAACATTTTCCTCAAAGACTGCGGCAATTTTCATGAGTTCTGGTAATTCCTCTTGGCCAGATGAGGAACGATGCGTCTTCAATGTATCGAATCTTTACATGCAACACATTCGAATTAAAGTACAGTTGTATGAACGTATATTCACGTTCACGGAATTCATGTAAGTAAACGAATATTACTTAGTAGAATATTACCTATCGAATTATAATCTCAACTCCATAAACAAACAAACAAACAAACTTACATCTTGATGGCAATTTCTTGTCGTGAACACGGCAGAGATTGACTCCTCCAATCGCCCTGGCCTGCTCTGAATCCATCACCTTGAGGAGGCCGAGGCCGCGGCGTCCCGTTATCTGAATCCATCAGCTCTGTTCTAAGCAGCAACCGTAAAATACATACCTTCAGACAAAATTATAAAAGTTTTGAATTGCAAAAACAGATGTTGAAATTTAAAATCAAACCTGGAAACTGGTAGAAACTGGGTTTGAGTGAGTTGCGTGCGTATCAAGCAATGAATCAAATGCGGACGGGGTGAGGCGATTGATCGTCTTGAGATCAGGTAAACGAAGACTTGTTTTGTTTTGCAGGAGGAGGAAAGTTTCCTTCCTTTATCCAAGAAATTGCAGGGAAGGTTCGAAGGTTTCCCTCTCCTCGTTTAGTGCCAACAGCTTTTTTTTTTTTTTTTTTTTTTTAATAGATTGCTTGCCTGACTATCATTACAATAAAAATGCATTAAAAATCCTAACTATATAGAATAGCAAAAGAAAAATTTTATTTGAACCCATGTAACATTTTCTTACATCAAATTTACTCTCTTAATCCATATTGTTTTTTATTAAAAAATTAATCTCTCTTTAAACCCAAATTTATTAGTTAAACTACCATCTCAAATCAAATTCAAAATGTTAGGTTATCTTTACACCCATTCCCTTTATAAAATAACATCTATAATTGATTTTTTTTTTTTTAAAGAGGCCTCCTTGCCCCCACCCTAGACTTGGCAGTTTTTGACACGACACGATGACACGACACGAAAACGACACGAAAATAACGGGTTTCGGGTCAACACGATAACTTATCGGGTCACTATCGGGTGACCCGTTAAGAACCCGTTAATAACGGGTTCTTAACAGGTATACACGCGGGTAACACGTGGGTAACCCGTTTCGACCCGTTAAGAAAAAAATTATTTTAATAATTTTAAAGTTTAATTACTAAAAGATTTATTATAAAATACAATAGTCATATTAATATATACAATATATTCTATATTAAATATATAGTTTTGTATTATTGTTCTATATAAATTATAAAAAAATTTAAAAAAAAAATTAGTCATTATTTATTTTTATTATGAGAGTTCCTTATTATCATTACTAGGATAAATTTTACATAACATATTCTTGTCCAAAATTAAAATATACTGGTATAGTATTTGTATATGCAAGAACTAAGAAGACATACATACAAGTATGAAAAATGTGAAAGAATATATAAACACTCGTGATTTATCATTATTCCTCCACGAATAGATAATTGTTACACTTATATTATTGTTTAGATTTTTTAAATCCTTCAAACCCTCATGAATAATGTTTTTTATTTGAGGGAAAAATTAATAATAATTATTGTAGAACTGTAAAAAATGTAAAAATATATATATAAAATCACTCATATATAAAAAAATGTAAATGCTTTAAATTAAAGATCAAATTTATTCATTACATTCTTATAGGGTCGAGGAGTGTATCTGTAAAAAATCATCAAAATCAGAGATAAAATAACCGTTAAATTGTGATTTTTCGTTTATAACCGCCGAAAACTTTTGTTCCATTACGTAATCTCTGAATGTTTGTTTTTTACGATTTTTTACATATGCGATCTCGGAATGTGTACAAATAAGTTTGACGGTTGGATCGTTAAAAAAAGTTTCATAGAATGCATATTGCGTCAAAACGGTAGATTAAGCAAACACTTAAGAGTTAATATTATACTTCTATTAAGTATAAAATAGGTTTTTGTGGTATCCACTAGTGTAAATACTTTAAATTAAAGATCAAATTTATTCATTACATTCTTATAGGGTCGAGGAGTGTATCTGTAAAAAATCATCAAAATCGGAGCTAAAATAACCGTTAAATTGTGATTTTTCGTTTATAACCGTCGAAACCTTTTGTTCCGTTACTTAATCTCTGAATGTTTGTTCTTTATGATTTTTTACGTATGCGATCTCGGAATGTTTACAAATAAGTTTGACGGTTGGATCGTTGAAAAAAGTTTTGTGGAATGCATATTGCGTCAAAACAGTACATTAAACAAACACTTAGAGTTAATATTATACTTCTATCAAGTATAAAATAAGTTTTTGTGGTATCCACTAGTGTAAATACTTTAAATTAAAGATCAAATTTATTCATTACATTCTTATAGGGTCGAGGAGTGTATCTGTAAAAATTTATCAAAATCAGAGATAAAATAACCGTTAAATTGTGATTTTTCATTTATAACCGTCGAAAACTTTCGTTCCATTACGTAATCTCTGAATGTTTGTTTTTTTACGATTTTTTACGTATGCGATCTTGGAACGTGTACAAATAATTTTGACGGTTGGATCGTAGAATGCATATTGCATCAAAATGGTAGATTAAACAAACACTTAGAGTTAATATTATACTTCTATTAAGTATAAAATAAGTTTTTGTGGTATCCACTAGTGTAAATACTTTAAATTAAAGATCAAATTTATTCATTACATTCTTATAGGGTCGAGGAGTGTATCTGTAAAAATTCATCAAAATCGGAGCTAAAATAACCGTTAAATTGTGATTTTTCGTTTATAACCGTCGAAAACTTTTGTTCCGTTACGTAATCTCTGAATGTTTTTTTTTTATGATTTTTTACGTATGCGATCTTGGAATGTGTACAAATAAGTTTGACGGTTGGATCGTTGAAAAAAGTTTTGTAGAATGCATATTGCGTCAAAACAGTACATTAAACAAACACTTAGAGTTAATATTATACTTCTATTAAGTATAAAATAAGTTTTTGTGGTATCCACTAGTGTAAATACTTTAAATTAAAGATCAAATTTATTCATTACATTCTTATAGAGTCGAGGAGTGTATCTGTAAAAAATCATCAAAATCAGAGATAAAATAACCGTTAAAATTGTGATTTTTCGTTTATAACCGTCGAAAACTTTTGTTCCATTACGTAATCTCTGAATGTTTGTTTTTTACGATTTTTTACGTATGCGATCTTGGAATGTGTACAAATAAGTTTGACGGTTGGATCGTTGAAAAAAGTTTTGTAGAATGCATATTGCGTCAAAACAGTACATTAAACAAACACTTAGAGTTAATATTATACTTCTATTAAGTATAAAATAAGTTTTTGTGGTATCCACTAGTGTAAATACTTTAAATTAAAGATCAAATTTATTCATTACATTCTTATAGAGTCGAGGAGTGTATCTGTAAAAAATCATCAAAATCAGAGATAAAATAACCGTTAAATTGTGATTTTTCGTTTATAACCGTCGAAAACTTTTGTTCCATTACGTAATCTCTGAATGTTTGTTTTTTTACGATTTTTTACGTATGCGATCTCGGAATGTGTACAAATAAGTTTGACGGTTGGATCGTTGAAAAAAGTTTTGTAGAATGCATATTGCGTCAAAACAGTACATTAAACAAACACTTAGAGTTAATATTATACTTCTATTAAGTATAAAATAAGTTTTTGTGGTATCCACTAGTGTAAATACTTTAAATTAAAGATCAAATTTATTCATTACATTCTTATAGGGTCGAGGAGTGTATCTGTAAAAAATTATCAAAATCAGAGATAAAATAACCGTTAAATTGTGATTTTTCATTTATAACCGTCGAAAACTTTTGTTCCATTACGTAATCTCTGAATGTTTGTTTTTTACGATGTTTTATGTATGCGATCTTGGAACGTGTACAAATAATTTTGACGGTTGGATCGTTGAAAAAAGCTTCGTAGAATGCATATTGCATCAAAATGGTAGATTAAACAAACACTTAGAGTTAATATTGTACTTCTATTAAGTATAAAATAAGTTTTTGTGGTATCCATTAGTGTAAATACTTTAAATTAAAGATCAATTTTATTCATTACATTCTTATAGGGTCGATGAGTGTATCTGTAAAAAATCATCAAAATCAGAGATAAAATAACCGTTAAATTGTGATTTTTCGTTTATAACCGCCGAAAACTTTTGTTCCATTACGTAATCTCTGAATGTTTGTTTTTTACGATTTTTTATGTATGCGATCTTGGAATGTGTACAAATACGTTTGACGGTTGGATCGTTGAAAAAAGTTTCATAGAATGCATATTGCGTCAAAATGGTAGATTAAGCAAACACTTAGAGTTAATATTATACTTCTATTAAGTATAAAATAAGTTTTTGTGGTATCCACTAGTGTAAATACTTTAAATTAAAGATCAAATTTATTCATTACATTCTTATAGGGTCGAGGAGTGTATATGTAAAAATTCATCAAAATCGGAGCTAAAATAACCGTTAAATTGTGATATTTCGTTTATAACCGTCGAAAACTTTTGTTCCGTTACGTAATCTCTGAATGTTTGTTTTTTATGATTTTTTACGTATGCGATCTTGGAATGTGTACAAATAAGTTTGACGGTTGGATCGTTGAAAAACGTTTTGTAGAATGCATATTGCGTCAAAACAGTACATTAAACAAACACTTAGAGTTAATATTATACTTCTATTAAGTATAAAATAAGTTTTTGTGGTATCCACTAGTGTAAATACTTTAAATTAAAGATCAAATTTATTCATTACATTCTTATAGGGTCGAGGAGTGTTTTTGTAAAAAATCATCAAAATCGGAGCTCAAATTACTGTTAAATTGTGATTTTTCGTTTATAACCGTTGAAAACTTTTGTTCCGTTACGTAATCTCTGAATGTTTGTTTTTTATGATTTTTTACGTATGCGATCTCGAAATGTGTACAAATAATTTTGACGGTTGGATCGTTGAAAAAAGTTTCGTAGAATGCATATTGCGTCAAAACGGTAGATGAAACAAACACTTAGAGTTAATATTATACTTCTATTAAGTATAAAATAAGTTTTTGTGGTATCCACTAGTGTAAATACTTTAAATTAAAGATCAAATTTATTCATTGCATTCTTATAGGGTCGAGGAGTGTATTTGTAAAAAATCATCAAGATCGGAGCTAAAATAACCGTTAAATTGTGATTTTTCGTTTATAACCGTCGAAAACTTTTGTTCCATTACGTAATCTCTGAATGTTTGTTTTTTAAAGATTTTTTACGTATGCAATCTTGGAATGTGTACAAATAAGTTTGACGGTTGGATCGTTGAAAAAAGTTTTTGGACCGCCATCAATAGATAATTTTGTAGTAGTGAAACCTTAAATTTATTTAACCGTTAATTGTTATTTACACTTTATTCTTCTGACTGAATTTCATTTTTAAAATTTTATTTTTTGAAAACATGATCATCTGGTGGATGTAAGAAGATGATATCACGTTTCGATATTTACGATTAACTGAAATATGAGTCAATGTCATATAATTTGTAGAAACTTTATAAACATCAAACAATATTTTCACTAACCGTAGAACTCTAAATATAATATCA